ATGAAAACATGTAAACATACCAAACAGAAAAACTGAATACAGTGTGCAGAAGCATGCTTGAGAGAGCCTGGAGGCGAACAGGCAGGCACTTATTTTTTTAAGCTACATTTTAAAACAGTCCTCAAATCTCTTTACAACAAATATGTCTTCTGGATAATTAAAGACACTTGATCGAAGACAGCATTTTCCTACCTCTATGCTAGTTATTCCAACATCTTTCAGTCTGAAGATCACTCAAATTTCCCAGCACAGATGCTGACCTCGTTTATGGAACCGGAGCCTACTGACAACAAATCTGGTTTAAAATTTTCATTCAAGAATCCTTATAGTGGTTTGCTAATTACAGGCTAAAATGCACTGCTATCAGCACGTGCTTAACCCTCACTGAAGTCACTCAAGGTTAAATACCTTTTTCTAGCCCTGAGTTTAGGTTTATTTGATCCCAAGAGTCCAGGGTCAACCACGTAACAAAATTTTATTTGGAGATTCACATCAGTAGGAGTACTACTGATGGACACGGAGGATGCAGCCAAGCTGCAAGCAGGAAAAAAGAAAAAAAGATATTAAGTGGAGAAGACCATTTTAGTCAGCATTGATTGTACAATACAGATTTCAGTCTGACTTTTTTCAGCAGTCAGAGCGAGGAAGCTTGTGATAGCCAGGACTTTGTGATCTGGGAGACAGCTTTATAGCTACATTACCATGCCTCGCTGCTGTGGGCACATTTTAAATCAATACAGAATGGAATTTCCAATCAGTTTGAGCATTTCCCTTTTTCCTTCTTGGCAAGAAAGAGAAATTCCTCAGAGCGTCAAAAGCAGATAAAAATTGCATAGCATGACAGCTAGATCTGAGAAGTCAAAACCACAGCCTCCAATATGAGGTATATTTTGAAAAACTGTGTTCGGTCAATGTTTTCTTTATGCCTACTTACTAACTTTCATCAGCTGGGTAGATAAAAATTGCAGAAACCAGAGGGTTTGTCCCCCACATTAATCTCCAAAGTTTGGTGTTAAAAAGGTGGTCAACTTTCCACAGAGTAACTGTGACAGACCAATTAAGAGCACACAATCAAAGTGCTGCCAATTGTATTTTGAAGTATCCTCAACATTAATCTTGTTCTTCACTCTTTCTTCAATATTTCTGAATACGATGATGCTTCTGAAAGTCGGACCATTATTTAAGACTTGTAAAATACGG